CAAATTCGCCAACAGCGAATTGAGATACTTCATATACTGTAAACAAATTTTTAAGCTTTGTCTAGGCTAGGCTCTTCTTAAGTTATCGCGAGCAGCGACGATCTCACCTCACTAAGCAACCCTATTTTCACAAAATGTTCAGTACAGATTTACAGACACACTGTCAAGTTCAAGTAGAAAATCCCAGATAGATCGTTCTGGGCATATTTAAAAAAAAAACCCATTAAGTTTCTTGATATGTTTAAATTAATCTGTTTAATTAAGTCATCATCATCTTGCACTGAGCTTGTTCCTTGTGTCATGCACTATGAAACTTTGGGTGATCTGACGTCATCGAAGAATGTGTTTGCACACCACTGTTGCACCCCTGAAAAACAAAATTAACAAACTGGCGGACAGGATTTCGGAGGCGCGGTCTCTGCCCTCAGCAAAGTGAATGCAAAATAAATAACGAAATTAAGAACTTGAGTGCTATTTCCAAGCACCTAGACATATAAATTGTACAAAATTTTCTAAAATAGCAATCATGTGTTGTTACTTATTGTACAACATACATATTGTGATAAAATATTTTTCTTTTGAATATTAAATATTAATCAGCCTGCAAAACAGTTTCTAAATGTCCCATACGCCACATATGGAATCGCCCTACCTTAGTACAATGTACATACCTCTGACACCAACTGGAGTGCGGGATATCCCTCCATGATGTTTAATTAATGGGAACAGGATTTTCAAAGATATTTCTCCACTGGAAACCATACTGTAGGTTGCTGATTAATGCATAATTTTGGTAAATCAACTTTGACATTTGTCATCCTCTATTTCTACTACCTCACATTTTCTTTTCTTTTTATCTCTGGTTTTACCACTGCTGCACCTCCAGTTCCATTTCCAGCAGCAACTCGTTCGGTTTTCATGATATTCTTGAAATGATTTTTGATGGCTGGCTGCCAAGAATTCTAAAATAAGAGACAAAAAAAAAAAAAAAAAAAAAAAAAACACACCATTCAAAAATCTAATTCAACAATGAAAGTTAATGTTCTC